CTTGGTGGGTGTTGGATACCTCCAGGACAGGGGGATCACGGTTACCTTCGTGGGGGGTGGGCGGACTGCGGTCTGTACAGACGCTTCCACAGGTGCTTTTCTGACCACGTTCACCAGGGAGCCCCGCTCCGGTCTCTACGTTCTCCACACCGAGCGATCCCCGGTCGTGTCCTCCCCTCAGGTCGTTGCGTCCCCTCCGGCCCAGGTCCCCAGTCCAGTTGCGGTGTCTAGCCAGGTAGTCGTGTCCGGTCCGGTCGCTGTGTCCAGTCCAATCGTTGCGTCTTGCTCCTGTCGCTCTCTAGCCCACCGCACCGTCCTGTGGCACCACCGCCTTGGCCACCCGTCGATCCCTCGCCTTCGTGGCATGCTCAGTCAGGGACTTGTCACAGGTCTCCCACGCACCTTCCCGTCGCTCCCTCCCTCGCTTGCCCCTCCTTGCTCTCCGTGCGTCGCCGGTCGCTTACGCGCCACTCCCCACTCCTCCTCCCTTCGTCCGGCCACCGCTCCCTTCGAGACTCTCCACTTGGACGTCTGGGGCCCTGCCCCGACGCAGGGGTCTGGGAGGGAGCGTTACTTTCTAGTGGTCGTCGACAACTTCTCCAGGTACACCACAGTGTTCCCTCTTGCGAAGAAGTCCGAGGTGACTGCTACGCTGATCAGGTGACTTCTAGCCACTGAGGGCACTCGTGGTCGTCGAGTCAGTTGTCTCCACTCCGACCGTGGGGGCGAGTTTCGCTCCGGCATTCTCGGCGGATTCTGCGGCGAACAGGGCATCACACAGTCCTGGGCGCTGCCAGAGTCCCCACAGCAGAATGGGGTTGCTGAGCGCCGCATAGGCCTGGTCATGGACATCGCCCGCACGTCCATGATCCATGCCCGTGCGCCCCATTTTCTGTGGCCCCACGCGGTTCGCTACGCCGCACACCAGCTGAACCTCCAGCCGCGTGTCTCGCGGCCCGAGGCTTCACCGACCAGTCTTTGGACTGGTTCCCCTGGTGTTGGGTCGGCCTTTCGAGTCTGGGGCTGCCTTGCGCTTGTTCGCGACACCTCCGCGGACAAGCTCTCGGCACGCGCCGTCCCCTGTGTCTTCCTTGGTTTCCCAGTGGACTCTGCCGACTGGTCCTTTTACCACCCGCCCCTCCACCAGTTCCTAGACTCCCGTGACGTCCGGTTTGACGAGTCTGTGTCCAACTACACCCGGTACCCCTGTCGAGGTCTCCCGGTACCCCCTCCCCCCCTTTTCCTAGCACCCTCTCCTCCTCCTGCTCCTGCTCCTCCGGTACCCCCTCCCCCCCCTGGTCCTGCCCCGTCTGGTGCGTCCCACGCTACCCCTCTACCCTCGGTCGCGCGTCAGGTAGCGTCTCCCTCCCCGCAGTCCTCCTCACAGTCCCCTCAGCAGCCTTCGGCACTTCCGCGACAGGTTCCTGTGGACTTGGTTGGTGTTGGAGCTGGAGGTGCAGCCGCTGGTGGTGCGCGGTCTGGGGGTGCTCGATTGCGGGGTGCTGGAGCTGGAGGGGCTGGTGCAGGTGGCGCTGGGGGTGCTGGAGCTGGGGGTGCTGGAGTTGGAGGTGCTAGCGCTGGAGGTGCTAGTTTTGGGGGTGCTGGAGTTGGGGGTCCTGACACTGGAGGTGTTGGTTCTGGGGGTGCTGAGTCTGAGGAGACTGGAGCTGGAGACCCTGGTTCTGCGGAGTCCACTCCGCCTCCCCACCGCCACGACACGCGTCTCCAGGCTGCCCGTCGGCGTGAGCGTGAGGAGCAGGAGCGGTTGGAGAGGGAGCGGCAGGAGCTGCGGGTGCTGGACCTTCTGGAGCAGCGGCGGCAGCAGCAGCAGCAGCAGCAGCCGCAGCCACCGCCGCAGCCACAGCAGCGGCAGCCGCAGCCGCCTCCGCAGCTTCCTCTGGAGCGGCAATTGTTCCCACCTGTGAGTGGCCTGCGGGCCCTTGGCCTTTCCTCCTCTCCTCCTGTCCACTCCCAGTCTCCTCCTGTGTTTGTTCCTCCGTTGCCTCCTCCTGACGACCGTCCGACGGTCTGGTCTTCTCCTCCTCCTCAGTCTCCTCCTCCTTCTGTCCGTCGCGACTTGATCACCCGTTGTCCTCCGCGTGCTCATCACTCGTCCCCTGTTACTGACCTCCACACTGCCCTTCTTTGTTCGTCTCGTCGTCGTTCTCCTTCTCCTGTGTCCGTTCTCCCGTCTCCTCCTCCGTCCTCTCTCACAGCCCTCCCCACTCCTATCTCTGACTACTACCGCGCTATTCGTCCTGTTGCCGCACGTGTCCTCGCCACTCTTGTCACCGACTCTCGTTTCCCTCCGTCATCTGCCTCGGCTCTCACTGCCGCTGTCACTGAGTTTGCTGCAGCCAGCCGCCTTGACTACGCCACCCGTGTGGGCCAGCTCCTCCCTCCCGTCCTCTGTCCGTCGGGGGTGGATTTGCCCTTGGCTGTGACGTCCTAGAGGACAGAGAGTCTGAGCTGGCAGCCGCTTCTCCCTCTGTGTGTGCCATGCTGCTCTCCCCTGAGGGAGACCCCGACGCCCTTGACATACCGACTCCTCGCACTTACCGCGAGGCAGTGTCAGGGGCGTGGGCCTCTAAGTGGAAAGTGGCTATGGACTCAGAGTTGGCGTCTTGGAGATCCACAGGCACCTACGTCGACACAGTTCCCCCTCCCAGGGCGAACGTAGTCGATGGCATGTGGCTCTTCAAGGTGAAGCGGCCGCCTGGAGCACCGCCGGTGTTCAAGGCGCGCTACGTGGCTAGGGGCTTCAGTCAGCGTGAGGGAGTTGACTTCTTCCAGACCTTCGCCCCGACCCCGAAGATGACTACTCTTCGGGTGCTACTCCACATAGCAGCGCAGCGAGACTACGAGCTGCACTCCCTCGACTTCTCCACTGCGTTCCTCCAGGGCCGACTGCACGAGGAGATCTGGCTGCGCCGTCCTCCTGGCTTCACTGACACCTTCCAACCTGGGACCCAGTGGAGCCTGAGGCGACCAGTCTACGGTCTCCGCCAGTCGCCTCGTGAGTGGCACGACACTCTTCGCTCCACGCTTCGTGACCTTGGGTTCAGCCCGTCCTCCGCCGACCCATCGCTGTTTGTTCGAGCGGGTTCTACTCCTTTCTTTATCCTTGTCTACGTCGACGACTTGGTGTTTGCTACCGCAGACAGGGCAGCCCTGGCTCAGGTGAAGTCCGAACTGCAGAAGAGACACAAGTGCACTGACCTGGGTGAGCTGCAGCGCTACCTTGGCCTGCAGATCACCAGGGACAGAGCCGCTCGCACCATCACACTGACGCAGTCACACATGGTGCAGCAGGTCCTTCGGCGGTTCGACTTCCAGTTCTCCACCATACAGCCCACTCCTCTTGCTATTGACCACCGACTCACTGGCCCCTTTCCTGACGAGCCCTTTGAGCCCAGTGGTCCCTACGCAGAGCTTGTGGGCTGCCTCATGTACCTGATGACTTGTACTCGGCCGGACCTCGCCTTTCCCCTCAGCATCCTCTCTCGCTTTGTTGCGACTGGGAGACACCGTCCTGTCCACTGGACAGCTGCTGTGAGGGTGGCGAAGTACCTGGCGACTACATCAGGCATGGGGCTTGTGCTTGGAGGGACTCAGCCAGTGGCGTTGACTGGTCACTGCGACTCTTCCTACGCTGACGACGTGGAGACTCAGCGCTCGACTCAGGGTTACTGCTTCAGTCTGGAAGCTGGTGCTGTGTCGTGGAGGTCTACACGGTCGTCGTCTGTGGCTACTTCCAGTGCAGAGGCAGAGATCTAGGCTGGTGCCATGGCGGCACAGGAGCTTCGCTGGTTGACCTTCTTGCTCGCCGACCTTGGTGAGCGGCCTCGCTCTGCACCGACCTTGTACGCTGACAACAAGGCCATGATCCTCCTGTATCAAGGCCATATTGACGTGAGGTACTTCCTCCTGCGAGAGCTGCAGCGACGCGGCCAGGCACGCCTGGACTTTGTGGCCTCAAAGGCCAACACTGCAGACGTCTTCACCAAGGCCTTGGTGCTTGGTGATCACCACAGGTTCTGTGTGCAGTTGGGGCTTGTTGAGGTAGGCCCTCGGTTGCTGTAGTCTTGTTGTTTGCTTTGCTTGTTGTGCTTCCTATTTATATCCTAGTGAACTCTTGAACTGGTCTTGTGGCCGCTTGCTTGCGCTCGGAATTTGTGTGGTGTCCTTGAGATCCACCCTGAGCTTGCCTTGTTTCTTGCTTTGACTGGTCTTGTGACCGTTTGTTCACCTTGCTTGCTTTGATGCCCCTCACTTAGCCTATGGGGGTGTGTCAAATGTAATTCTATGCTTGTAGGCTACAGTGAGTAGCACAATAGGGAGTACAGTTGTTAGGGTTGCATATTTGTACTCTCACACTTTCTAGTTTCGCCTATTCCGTTGCATTCCTATTCTAAGACGCGCTTGGGAATGCGGGGCATGCTCGGCAGCGTGAGGCGCGCGAAGAGCAGCGTGGGAGGGGCAGCATGGGGCGGAGTGCGTGGGGCGGTGTGGGGCAGTAGGTATGCAGGTATGACAGTAGGACCTAACCCAGCCTCGGATACCATGTTAAAAGGTAGGCAATGGAATGATTAACTATGAAAGGGGAGAGGTACCGTATAAGTATCAACCCTGAAAAGAGTTGCACCTTATACAGGCTACCCCACTACAGCCTATAACAACAAATAAATAGTTTGACAAATGGGTAAAAAAATGAAACCTAGAATGTGTTGTACCTTATACATGCAACTCGCTGTAGCCTAACAAACACATACAACCTTTGACACATGGTTGTATGTAGGGGGGATCACATAATCACAGAAAATGAACATTATCCAAGGGATGACGGTGCCTCAAGGGTCAGGATGCGCGTGACGTGACTGCATTCCACTGCTACGGTGCTCTTGAGCTGTATATTTGTAGAATCCTGGTTGCAACAGCACGTCACAGCAAGATTCCTCTCGTATAGCATGAACACGGACGGCATGTCAGTGCTATACGTATTAATCACGACGGAGCACAAGGAGCGGCTGAACAATGTCGGCTTTAACATTCTCGCGGTAAAGTCGTTCCAGGCTGCTAACCCCAAAGACGTCGAGAAGGTGAAAGCTTTCAGTGAGCAGTGGCATGCGGATGGGACCGTAGATACGGTGGGCGTTGAAGACCAGCGTGTCGTTGCCTGTGGGCACACCCAGGAACAGCAGCCCTCCTGGCTTTAGCAGCCCCTTGATCTGCCGAGGGAAGGCAGGGGTGGTGTGGGACAAGGGTGTGCATGGGTTGCAATCGGAGGGCGTAAGGATGGTTAGGGTGAAAGCTTGGCCACACATCCTCCTTGCCAAACCAATGAACGCGGATCATTACGCTGCACCCCGTTTGTGCAAAAACCACCTTGCACCGCCCCAACCACCTTGCTCGTCCAACTCCCACCTTGCTCCACAACAGCCCAGCTTGTGCGTCCTCCAACCACCTCGCACCGCCCCAGCCCACCTTGCACCGGCCCCCAGCCCACCTTGCACCGGCCCCTAGCCCACCTTCTTCATGCGCTCACCTTCTTCATGCGCTCACCTTCTTCATGCGCTCACCTTCTTCATGCGCTCACCTTCTTCATGCGCTCACCTTCTTCATGTGCTCACCTTCTTCATGCGCTCACCTTCTTCATGCGCTCACCTTCTTCATGCGCTCACCTTCTTCATGCGCTCACCTTCTTCATGCGCTCACCTTCTTCATGCGCTCACCTTCTTCATGCGCTCACCTTCTTCATGCGCTCACCTTCTTCATGCGCTCACCTTCTTCATGCGCTCACCTTCTTCATGCGCTCACCTTTTTCATGCGCTCACCTTCTTCATGCGCTCACCTTTTTCATGCGCTCACCTTCTTCATGCGCTCACCTTTTTCATGCGTTCGAGGTCGCCGTTGGGGTTGATGGGGTCGCCGTAGCGGCCGAGCCCGTCATGTTCGAGGGAGGAGAAGGAGACGGCGACGTCCCACGTCTCGCTGCTGCCCTCCAGCTCGCCCACCACCAGCTGCCGCAGCCGAGGGTGGGACGCCACGGGGCGGTTGAAGTCCACCGTCGTGATGGCGTGCGCATCGAACCCCAGGCAGATCGCCTCCACCCACGGCCACTGGCTGCCGATGATTAACACGCTCTTTCCTCCCAGCGGGTACTTCTCAAACGCCGAGTAGAACGAAGCCGTTACGTTCGGCCCGTACGACCCGAAGCCCGTGTCGCGGCGGCGCGCCATGGCGGCCTGCTTGTCGATACGGTCAGTGGACCACTCGTACGCCTTGGCGCCCGAGTCTGCTGCGTCCTTGTTCAGAAACTGGTTGATCACCTGCCAGAAGGAGGGAACGGTGCAGGGGAGAGGGGGAGGAGTGTCGTTCAGAGCTCAAGTTTTGATATGCCGTGTGCCTGTTGCTTATCACTGTGCATTCTGCATGCCGTGCGCCGCTAGACGCGCACAATGGCTGCTCAACACACCAGCGCATCCTCTCTCAAGTCCGCACCCGCCCTCCTTTTTCTCCCTGCGCCCTGCATGCTATCCACTGCCCTCTCTTCCCCCATGTTTCAACCACCCGGCCCCACAGACCGTGTGTGCGTGCCCTCTTCTCCTCACGCGCTGGTCTCCCTCGTGTCGAACCCGGTGAACCATCCGCCGCTGGTTGATCCACCAGCGAAGGCGCTGCCTCCTCGCCAGCGGAATGCGAGGTCCCTGCAGGGGCCGACTCCCAGATCCCACGTACACGTTGGCACCTACGGGGAACGGGTGTAACACCTGCGCGCTTGCTCTAAGCGTTGAGAAGCAACCACTGCGCCTATGAATAACCCCCCAGTTTGGAGGAGAGGCCTAGGGCGCGGGGGGCACGGGGGAGTAATATTCTTACCTGCACGCGGCCGTCCAGCGTGAACTGCTGCTGCACGCTCTCGCGGATCCACTCCCACGGCACGGGCCCGGGCAGCCCGAAGTTGCTGATCAGGAACCGCGTGCTCTTGCCCTCCGCCGCCGATTCATCTCCGCTGCCGTGCGCGACTTTGCCCCCCAGCAATGCCACTGCCGTATGGTGGGGGGGCACGGGCGCCGCGGAGGGGTGCGGGGCAGGGAGGGCGCAGGGGGGAGTACGAAAGCAGGAAGGTGGAATGAGTTTCTTGTTCACGAGCATGGGGAGGTGCGGCCCGGTCGATGCGCGGTCAAAGAGCGAGGCTTGACGCGAGCGCGCGGCGAGCTGGTGTGCAGCACGGATGCGCGGCGGGAGGTCGTATCATGGGGCTGGCGCAGCGGCAGCACTAGCAGTAGCGGAGAACACGGAATGCGGAATGCTGGGTGGGGTGTAACGCAGAAGGGGGAGGGGTTGCTGCTCAGCAAGATGAGACGTGAATCTGGGTCGCGAGGAATGGGGAGGAGGCGGGCAGGCGGCGGCTTACGGAAATCGGAGGAGTTAAAGTTGATGGCGACAGAGACGGCGAAGAGTACGGCGGACGCCGCGAGGGCAATGTAGGGGGCGGCTTTGGACCACGAGATGGGCTTCGTGCGCTCGCGCGACGATGCACCCAACCGCCCTTGCCCGACAGCCATTCGCACTGCGCGCCCGCCACTGCTCCGAGCACTTACCCGCGGCGCCTTACGCTGGACAACGCGCACAATACAGGCGGGAGGAAACTACGAGGTGCAGTGGGGTGCCAGCGTGGTAATGTGGAGTTGGTCAAAGCAGGATGTGGCTGTTTGTGCGGGTTTGCTGCTGCCTACTTAGTTTGCGATGACAGATTCACCGTACGACATCTGATTTCTCACTTATGAACGATAAGCAAAGCTTTTCATGCAACGTGGTATCTTCTTCATGTGAAATTCACCTCGACTTCACTCAACGTCAAAGACGAGCAGGAGAGGTGGCGGAGTTCGTCAGGGAAGATCTGCATTCTGATTGGCGCGATAGTTCTTGGTGTAAATGTGTGTGTGTTTTGGCGCTAAATTCATGCAGTTCCCCGCCAAGGGCTCCTCGTCGGACCATCGCTGCGGGATCCGACCCGAGTTTGACAGGCACAGTACATCGCCAGAGGAGCAGTGTGGCTACAACCAGCATTCGGGGATTGGTTTCCCACATATTGGAACTCGTGATGTAGAATATTGTTACGAGAGCAATTGAGTGAGCGAACTAAGATTGCACTATGTTATGAGTTGTAAAAGAGAAGAGTGCGTATAATGCAATATCGCGGAAGTGATTACAACTACTGAGCAAACGAGAAATGTCACAAATATAGAGATGTAGCTATGCCGAGGTCGCGGATTCGCGAGATGGTTGGGTGAAGGTTCGGAGTTGGAAAACCCGAAGGCGACGCGATGGTGGTTCGGAGGGCGGGGTCGTCGGACCGAGCCTACTTTCGAAAAACCGGAGTTGTACGCGTACTGTGTGACCTAGTAAGGAATCACAAAAAAATCCTTACACTACCCCCCTCCCCCCCGCCCCCCCTTTAAAAAAGGTGGTGTGTATACGGGACGCCCCGGCGGGTCAGGTAAGCATCCACAACTGGATGTCTCTGTAGCGAATCAGCTGCGACGTACGTGTCGTCCTCGCTTGTGCGATCCTTCCAGCGAAGTAGGAAGATTAGCTTGCGCCCGGCAGCCGTCAGATCCACACGATGATTCAGAATCTTCCATGGCTCGAGTGTGGGTTCTGCCACGGGTCGTTTAGTCAGTGCAATGTTGGGTCGGGCGACAGCTGGCGACTGCGGCGGCTCATAATGACGCAGCAGACTGACGTGGAACGCATCATGTATTTTCCAATCACCGGGCAACAGTAGTTTTGTCGTGACGGGTGTCACCATCTGGACAATGCGAAAGGGTCCCACGTCGAGGTCGGAGCTTTGCGGGCTGGGGCAGCTGATGATTTTTCGTGTCCAGGAGTGCCACTTGCCCTGTGCGAAAGGGTAAATCCCGTCGGTGCTTGTCCGCGTTGTGACTAGCAGCAGTATTGGCTTTGCATATAAAATCGGCAGTCTTTTTGCGGGCGGTCTGAAGTTCCGTGACGAGCTGCTGCGATCGTGGTACCGGGTTGTCGAGCGTCGTTGAAGAGGGTACCACGGGGTCTATCCCGTAATTCAAGTAAAACGGAGATTGCTTAGTTGTGGCTGAGGGTGCGTTGTTATACGCGGCCTCCAGCATCGGGAGTGAATCCTCCCACTTGGTCAGGTCAGGGCAATTGGTGTATATTAGTTCCTCCATGGTTTGGTTGGTCCACGAAATGAGACACGAGCGTGACGTCGATCTGTTCAGACAGTACAGACGACAGGGTTAGCGACACACCTTTCTGGGCGTAAGCAGTCTATATACTTCAGATTCGTTTACCTGCCGTTGCTGGAACCGTTGGTTCAGATGGTTCAGCTCCCACAACACGTCAGCAAGCAGCCGGAGCAACCACTGAAACTTGAACGATGTGGCAATCTCGTACAGGTCATTGTTGTCCTCTTTGAGCACCACGATGGCTGCAGACAGGATCTCGAGGAAGCGTCGGACGGCCTCACCACGTGACAGCCAACGAACGGTGTGTATCCCTTGTGCCTCCAGGTTCGTCTTGCAGAAAACATGCTGAATGTTATGAAACTTCTCGTACTTGACGTTGGATCGCGAGATGAGATCTGCAAAGCCACGGATGACGTCGTCAACCATGTAAAGTTCAGGCACAGCATCCGCGGCATCGCTTGCGGCTAGAGCCTCCCTGCCAAGTAATCAAAGTACGAGTTGTGAGTAATGAAGTTAAGAATGGTGCATCGCTTTCCCACCGAGTGCACGGAGAGACACTCACCGATGAGCGACAGAGTGCGTGGAGGCGTAGTGCGGGATCCTCATGCGCAGACGGGCGACAACTCCGCTGTTCTTGCCTGTCATGACACTAGCGCCGTCCGTTGAAATGGCAGAGATCTTCTGGAGATCCAAGCCAATCCCTGTCAGGTACTGCACCACAACAGAGGTCAGAGAGGCTGCATCAGCACGGTCAACAGTGATGAGCATTATGAACTCGTTGACCACACCCGTGCCACGGAAAAAAAGTAGCGTAAACGATTAGATGTTTGCCGTGGATTCGGTCTGTGCTCTCGTCCAGTGATAAGCCAATCCAAGGCGACTCCAGCAAGTGCGATCGTTGCAGTTCTTGTAGGTACGTTGAGATGGCCCGGAGATTCTCTTTGAAGCCATATCTGCACATAACAACAGATAACAACATCAGTATATGTGAATATCACCCGTGGCTACCGTTATAAAAACAAGCGCTTACTCAGTGTAGTAGGCGCCATATCCGCCACCGTTCGGAAGGTCTGGAAGGCCTTCCTTTGCCAAGAACCAGCAGAGCGGGATGAACATCGAGATCGGTGCATCCGCCCTGCAGATAAAAAGCGCAATATGAAGCACGCGAATGATGTGACGCGTAGACGCGTTAGTTGACTGCCACCGAGTTAGTTTCGCCTGTTTCTCCTTCTCAGCTGCAGCTTCTTCTTGGTTCTTGACCGCGCTCTTGTGGGCTCGTGTTGAGGAATGGGCCCGGACGCTTCCCATCTGCAGGTCGCGGCCACCTTCACCTCTCACACCGTAGCTAGTGTGAGCTGCGGGGTCGCCATGCTGCACACAGATGTCACACTTGAGTTTTGCTTCTCCGTTAGGCATCCGAATAAGACGCAACCACTTGAATTTACCCTTCCACTCCGTCTCAAAGCGATGCTTTATGGTCTCGTAGAGAACGTCACCGGTAGTTTTAGCGGGCGCCTCGTCTTGGGTCGCTACTGGACGTTGCGGTGAAGCTTCTTTACGGGGTGGCGGGGCTCCCCATAGCCGCTGCTGCGTGTACTTCGCTCCCACACGCGGGCGTTTCCCCGGGGTGCTGTTCACAGTGGACGGTGAAGCCGCGGAGGGTCTAGACGACCCTTCACCATCGCCTGGCACGAGAACAATTGACGGGTGCGGCTCCCAGTCAGCAGGAGTCGACGGCGGCTCGAACGGGTATACAATACCCACACTACGCACGGGAGAAGCGGGTGGTGGCAACGGCGAGATGGGCACGCTGTATGTCTCAGCAGGGGGAGGAATAACTCCCAGCACAGAAAGGCCATTACGCATTACCGCGGGAGATTGAGGAGTTTGCTCGGCAGGCATGACTACCACATGTGAGAGACCTCCCGGTAGGTGGTTCTCACACCGAGGGTATGAGAAGAATGAGAAAGATGGGGTGTTCTTGGGATAACGACCCCCTCCTCCAACACCCGTGATGACCCCGGAGCGCGTAATTGCATGGCTCACGGTGGTCACTTGTGGCTGCCAGGAGGTGTCCTGTTCAGCACGAAAGGAGGATGGCAGCCCCGCTGTCCTGTCGGCGCGCTACTAGACAAGTCTGGCAGTTGTCAAATGCTGCTCTGGCCTTGATTCTGTGTTGCGCTGGCACGGTGGCTGCCTGTTCCACCAATGTGGTACTTTCTGTTAAGATAGCGAGTATAAGCAGGCGCCATAGCTAGGAAAGCCCTAGCTAGGCAAGAAACAGTTTAGGCAAAAAAAGAAGGAAGTTCACTAGAAAGCAGCAGGATACATATAGGAAACCCTAAGGGGTTATACTCGCTATAGAGTACCCCACTGCAGGCTAGAGAACAATAACATTCTGACACACCCCCATAGCCAAAGTGGGGTGTAATCAGTACAATCAGCAAGCAGGTATAGAGCAGGAGTTCACAAAGGTAAGTAAAGCTAGAGCTAATCACAGCAGACAAGTGAGGAGGAGGAGGAGCTGTGGAGGGAGAGAAGATGGGAGGCAACGACTGAAGCTGCAGAGGCACGGGCACAGGAGCGGCTGACTCAGAGGCTACCGAAGCAAGGGCGACGGGCTACTGGAGTAACTGGCTCCGCGGCTATAGACGAGCGGCAGGAGCAACGGACCCACTGGCGACTGGTGCAGCAGGCTCACTGGCTACCGAAGCAAGGGCGACGGACTACAGGCGCTGCAGGCGACACGACAGCTACCGTCACACAACCTCCTCCAACTGCCCCACACCCTCGACACACGCCCACTGCTCAAACCCTCTTCGCTGTAGCCATGTGCTCCGGTCTGTGTCTCCCAGGAGCAACATAGCGTGCAAGAATGCTAAGAGGGTATGCAAGGTCAGGTCGTGTGCAGGTCATCAGGTACAT